CCTGGAGGGTGGGATAAATTGCTGATAAATGGCAGCTTCAGCCGGGAACTCGTTTATGCATGGCTGGATATGAAATAGGTGAGGTATTAAGCACGCAATCTAGGATTGTATTGGTCATAAAAATATATCAATCAATATACAGGGTGTGGTTTAGTAAACAAAGCCAATCTCAGGGGTGGTCGTACACATAAAAGTAATTACAAGAAAAATAGGCGTCTTTTTCAAGGCTGATTAAAAAATAAGCTATAAAGACATAACCCTCCTTCTGGCGCAGTTGGGTAAAAATATAATGAGGTGTATTTGTTACACTTCAAACAAAAGCATAAGATCTCAAGTGGTCAAAGTTACAAAATTATGATAAAGTTATGAAAGTAACCCGTTTCCAATATAAATCAAAACAAAAGTCGTGAAGCGCCGCATAATTAGTCAGTTCTATAGAAAGAAGAAATAAGTTAGCTGAATGAAACGGAATCGAAGGCCAGCCCTTTGAGTGCGGTGAGCTCGTGTACAGCACTCATTGTGATCGTAGTCCTTTTGTAGATTGTTTGAAAATGAGATTTGTACTATTGACTAAGTAGGTATGTCATTTATTATTGTTAGTAGTCTTGTTGAGGGATATTTTTTCTTGGTAAGCTATATATATAATTAGGGATCATCCCGCGTCTGGACCCTGAGTTGGGTATTGGGAGCAATAGCAAATCATAATAAATAGTGATTGATATCTGCGCGCTGCGATAAGCTTTTATCGCGCCATTTTATCGATTTTATTCGTTACGTCCATGCCTTTGTCGTCTAAAATCATCGAAAAGATTTTTCACGCGGCGTCTACTAACTGGTGAATAAAAATTGGTTCATTATGAAGGCCCGTTATCGAGGGACGCCAGACTTTACGTATTAATTATCTTCAACACCACAATATGATAAATGCAGGTCTGGTGACCTGAAAAACCAGATGCATCAACTACACGAAATGAAAAGAAAGTAATTAACTTAAGTAACCATCTTACACCCTTCACAAAAACTCCAGCGATCATCTAAACTGTACGCTCTAAAAATATCCACCCGAAACGGTACAAAAACTTTTACAGTCAAGTTAAATAAAAGTAACTCTGAATGTCCACGTTCACGACAGCTAGGAATGTCGGATGTTTAGTTTGAGTTATGAAGTATCCCATTCACTTTGAGCCAGTGTATCTCAACATAAAGCCTTTGTGTTAGCTCCGCGCCCGCCCACGCATGTCCGCGATACACAAAATCCACAAAATCGGGTCGGGGGTTTTTACAAAAGTCAAATTAAACGCAATGTTACATCACGCAAAATCTCGTTTGTTTCATTCGATAAAGCTTGACTGCTATTTTGTTGCTTGGAATATCACCATATTCGTTTTTAGCGATATCATGATGATAAGACAAGAGATACACAAAACATTCACGAAACAAATTAGGTAGGCGTAATGCGTGGGAAGATTTGTTTATTTGACACTATAATATTATTTATATACGAAGTGTTTAAGATGAATAATCGCAACAATAGTATAAAACCAAACTAGACTTACGTGTTTGTTTCCATTGTCATCTTGTGTAATATCGCCCTTAAGGCTACACATAGCTGAAGTGGAAACCGACATACGCTGCGTCTTGATAAAACACGCACTCCGCACAAGAAAAGGGGATCAATTTCATTTCCAGGTAAACGTGGGACTTTAACAAAGTTTTTGTTGGATGAAATAACAATGACATTGAGAAGAGAACCAACGATGTAACTGAGGCGATGAGAGAGATGTATATTACATAGCTCTAGTGAGCTAATATTTTTATGGGTACTAAGTAAATATCACCTTTCGAGATGAGAAACATCTGAGAAGCCCAAGGATTCTTTACTCAGGAGACAGTGCCATTCTGCTTGAAATCCTTGCGTATTATTAATCCAATTAGGAAATCCTTCAGGCAAAATCGGGAAAAGGACGGGTTTGAAAATATTATCCGTCGGGTCAATTATGAAAACTGCGTAAAGCTATCGCGGTGCGGGGGCGCTCGAGTCGTATCGTTTAATTTCACTCCACAAACGAAGTCCTGCTCATTTTCTGGTACCTTTTTACGTAGGTATGTTTGTACAGAACCCGCGTTAGTTTAATTGTGTAGACACTGAGTAAAAGCGCAATGACACCGGTAATTTTGAGCAATAATTTTGGGCGTTAAATAACTTGTTATTATTGATTGTATTGTAAAAGAAATTCATATTTTTCTACGTACAGCTAAAACTCCCTGCAGCGTGGGCAGGTGGCAAAAAAGATTAGTTGGAGAATTTTCCTCAATATTATACTAAATTGCTCTACATTTTCTTGCATTACTGTCAATTTTTTCCCAGAATTGAGTAATTTAATTGACAGTGTAAGGGCTCCTTCATAGATGCGTTATTCAAATGAAACGACTCGCATGAGTCCTGTGATCCCAGCCGCAGTTCTATGCATAGCAACTGCCTGATTGTAGTCAGCTTTGTAGCTCAATTTGGAACCAAGAGTACCTAAATATGTACATTTCATTTGTATCAATGTAGCCCCAAACCAGCTGTTCCATATATTCATCATCATGACGGCGCGCTTCTAGCCATATGCGTTGATCATCCGTTATACAGTGTGAGTCACGTTAAAGTGTACATATGAAAACAGATGAAACTAGACCTATTTTTATCGACAAAAAAGAGGTCAAATTTTTTTTGAGATTTTTTTTTAATTTTTTATCGAATTTTTTTTCTTCCAATTACTTATTGTGAAGAAAACGTAATAAATTTTAAACTAAGCGGTATATCCTGATAAAATAAAAACAGTAATAATGCTAAATAACAGGCGATACTGAAAAAATACATAAACTACCCAGAAAATGCCAACAAATAATAAAAAATGAGACTTTTTGAAAAAAATCTGCTTAAAAATTCGTATTTTTTTGGTTATTTGATAAATTTCTCCAAAAAATGCCCCTATAACCGGTGGTTTTTACTACTTTGTATTATTTTCTATCATATTACCTTCGTAAACCCAAAAATCGCATGTCTCTATCCCTATCACAACGTTTGCAATTATTGTTTGAACTAAGCCTCTCCGGGCGCGCCATTCAACGCTTCGTTAACAACGAAACTGAAAATGGCTCTAGATTTGTAATTTTGATAAAGACAAGTTAGATTTCAAATAAAAACAAAAGATTTCGAAGTAAAATAAGCATTTTAGTTAAAATTAAAATTGTCTCTACCTGTAGCGGAGAATAATGTTGTGGCAGGCCTTTGTTCAAACGATCATAGCAAATGTTGTGATAGGTATTGAGACATGCGATTTTTGGTTTTACAAAGATAATACGATAGAGAATAATACAAAGTAATAAAAACCACCTGTTATAGGGACATTTTTTTGAGAAATTTATCAAATAACCAAAAAAATACGAATTTTTAAGCAGATTTTTTTCAAAAAGTCTCATTTTTTATTATTTGTTGGCATTTTCTGGGTAGTTTATGTATTTTTTCAGTATCGCCTGTTATTTAGCGTTATTACTGTTTTTATTTTATTAGGATATACCGCTTAGTTTAAAAGTTATTACGTTTTCTTTACCATAAGTAATTGGAAGAAAAAAAATTCGATAAAAAATTAAAAAAAAATCTCAAAAAATTTTTGACCTCTTTTTTGTCGACAAAAATAGGTCTAGTTTCATCTATTTTCATATGTACACTTTAACGTGACTCACACTGTATAATGATTTATTATTATGACGTGGGCTAAGAAAGGATTTTCCAAAGGAATTAAAGCAATAAGGGGATGAAAATGCATTCCAAAATTTGAATGAAGAAACAATTTAACATTACATGGATATTTTTATTCGAAACATCATGGAAGTTAGTACTAAATAAGTAAAACTTGTTGCAGGCTTTTTCTTTTTCTACGATTCCTCGAATTTAACGCGAGTGAAGCCACGTGCAAAGGTAAATGATAATATATTATGCAATAATTATTAGGAATTACATAATTTCTCACCTGAATTTAACAATACTGAAGGTGAACAAACAACCCACTTAAAGTGAATTACCTACCTTAGTAGATTCGGAATTTCCAAATATTCCACTTTATAAAAGTATAAATAAACCATTTAATTTAATTTACGTATAATCTGAAATTGATTCGTTCAGAATGAATAGATTAATTTTAATTGAATGGAACATTTTTGGTATCGTGACGAGTATAAAGTTAAATCAAGTTCTCGTAGAACATTGCACGCACAGGGTCGCATGTAACTGATTAAATAAATGAAAGATAATTAATAAAGCCTCCAATTAAAAAATATCGAATCTAAAAATAATAAAATAAAAATATCTAATAGATTGGGCTGCTTCCAACTCCATCATCACACCAGTTTCATGACATCATTATATTGAATTGTCATCCGAATCACAGTGTATGCAAAATTTCAGCTCAATCAGGAAGTGGGTCAGTCAGCTTGCAAGATATGACCCAAACACACATTGCAAGTTAAATAAAAGCTTGTAATTAAAAGGAGGATGGGATCGGATCGAAGTGCCAAAATTGCATATCTCGGATGGCCAATTGCTCGACCGTCGGTGGGTCGGCCCTGATACCGCTAGGGTGAAGTGGTGGACGCGGATAATCGCGAGTTTGAAGCACACTGGCGAAATTGCACAAGACAAGCAAATGGCGACATCTCCTACCTATTGGAGGCCAAGACACTGGGTCGCTGAGCCATTGTACGACACTGTTCCCACCTCTCGTTCCCACCGCTGCAACTGTGTAGTCAGGATCTACAGTTTGACCGCCAATAAAAACCCAACCAGTGAAGGTCAAGTTTGTCCCGAGGGAAAGTGAAGCTCATTGGACCCGTAACGAAATTAATCAGAAGAACATAGGAGGAGTTCGAAGTTAAGGTTCGATTCCCAAAACAAAGCGGATAACGGGTGACAAAAAAGGCTGAGCCATTGTATAAGAAGAGATAAAAGTACTCACTCTTCCAATCATAGACGTTCTCCAAGTTCTCGACGTGCTCCGCCCAGAGCAGGTACGCGAAGGCCTCGTCCGGCACATTGGCGATGTGAAACCCCTGGAGGGGCGGCACTCCGCTCCTCGAGAACTCCGCCAACTGCCCGGCGAGCTCGAAGCTGGCCTGCAAAGGAAAAACCATTTAACACTTTGCAGATTCAGTTCAAAATCCTTTGACAATTAGGTGTTTTGTAGATTGATTTTACCAGATTTGAAAAAACTTTCCTAAGATATTGTCTACTCACTATTTGATTTGTAATGTTGTGCACAGGAGGAATGCAAACTAAATTACTTACGTACTCGTACACATTAAAAAAGGTCTTTGTGAATTTCATTCAAAAAATGTTTGATATTATTTCAAATTAACTCGTACTCAAAAAGACCCGTGAATTTATTGTGTACCTACGTATTAAAGGCATATTACCTAACAAAGCTTTGTGTAGAGCTGAACACCAATTAAAAGGTTGCGCAAGCGACGACATAATATATCGCAGAATAATTACCAGCTACGTTTCAAAGGTTTGAATTGATTTGGCACGTCATGTAAAACAAACAAATCAAGCAAACAAAGTCCATATTATGTAGGTACAGTCGAGTTCATAAATATGTTGGCAATGCCAATGTTTCAAAATATTGTAGCGCAGCAGCGCTACCGCATCATGTATGTTTATGATATGATTACATTTTATTGATGTTTGAGATTGTATTGAAATACATATTATGATCGTTAAAACGCTAACAATAACATTGGCGCTGCCAATATATTTATGAATTCGACTGTACATTATATTTAAGGCCCACGGGACTAATACGTGATTTGCCAAAACGGCTAAACCGTGTATTATGAAATCATCAACTGAACGTTATTATGTTCTGTCTACCTGTTGAATTAGGAAAACAAAATTGTGAAAAGCTCAATATCATTTTCAGGTGATAAAGCTAAATATTTTAAAGGTTGCATCAAGGTACGAGTAGGCAGTAAGCCGTCAAAAAATGATGTAATGGCATTATAATATGGTAATTCATTGGTAAACAAAATCTGTCTCGATACTACTTTAAAATATTTTCTGCTAGTTATAGGAAAAACTTTAAACACCTGAAAAGCAAACTGATTTGTACACAATTAAAGCTTTTTGATAGCTTGCACTCTAATACTACCTTATAAACTAGTGTTCAGTATTTACTATCACAGTACTACTTCCAATTACAAAACCTGCCTAACAAATGAGACTCCACCTCACGTACCTAATCTAGACTACCACAATAAGTTATAATAGACTAACTAAGAGCCAGTGAACGCCAGACCTACTCGTACGTCATTTTATAAAAGCTGAAAGTTAGTCAGCGTATGCTCCCAATATTAGATAGTATGATGGTGAATCATGAAGTTTGGGTCATCGTGGCTTTGGGAGCTACCCTAAAAAAACTGTCTGGCATGGAGTTGGAACTGTCGAATTCATAATTCACCAACATTAAGTATATCCTATATTGGGAGCATACGCTGACAATATTTCAGCGTATGCTGACAAAATTTTTATAAAATGACGTAGGTCTGGCGTTCTAGCTCTTCGTCTATCCACAATTTATAAAGGAACATACGCCTTGCATACCTAATATGTCACAGCTAAGGCGAGATGTACAAAGTGACCCTAATTGTTATTGAGTTAGAATTGCACGTGTTTCGAAGCTGCAAGATTAATTTCAACAGCGGAGATGGTGAGATATAATAGTTTAGTAAGATAGTTTGCGTCTCAATTGGATCCATTATGCAGATGCAAGCCGCGAGGCTCAAGTTTTCGTGCACGCAGCTTGCGCTGCTAACTTTAGTGTATGAATAGTCATAGTATTTTAAATAGAGAAAATAATTATTGTTATTTGTTGTATTGACAGACACTTTAGTCGGTTAGAGTTTGTTCTGTATAACAGCATGGTTCTATTTACACGTTAGAACATTATAGAATTGGAGGTCCCGAGCACACACTAGCACATAATCTTGTTATTGTATAAAAAAGGGATTACAATAGTGATAATGTTATGCGCCGCCTCTTCTCAACACTGTTCCAAAGCAAGCCTAGATATAATGGTAAAAAAATATCGGCGAGATGCGTTTATTTGTATTAAGGCTTTTTGGACATGAACAAAAGAAAATTGATTTCAGACTTCGATAAGCCAACCAAGGTTAGAACGGGGGCGTACCTAGTGTGAGTTTATGTTAAACGCATTCGATAAAATATATTATGAAGATTTTAATTCATGAAAGTTTCCGCTAAGGGCGCTGTACAATCCGTCATACATTTAATGCATTTGACGTTAACTCATACTACGCCCCCTGTTCTAAATGGTCTAACTAAGCTATCCTCCTTGAATAATAGCAATCCGTTTTCAAAACACCCTGTGTTATTAATTCACTAATAGGGGTTCAAACGAATCATGATAAGTTAGTCAGTGAGGTACGGCTCTTCAGTTTTACGGCAGGTCAGTCAGGGAAGGCAATTTCAAATGACGTAGCCTCTTTTATTGCTGACGTGACGGGCGGGGCTTGTGCAATTTTGCCTTTTTTGCAACGCGTCACATGGCTCTTTGAGTTTGATAGTGGATCTTAAAAGTTATTTTATGTCAGCCGGCGAAGGCGGTATGGAATACAAGTAGTGACTGTCGTATGGATGTGGGCCAAACTTTGTAGACGGCCAAGATGTGGGTTGGCAGTTGACTGAAACGCAAATTAATAACTACTCGTACAATTTGGTTACAGAACTTCCATCAGGATTTCGGTATCGTTTTATATTGGATTCAAATATTTGTCAAAAAAGAGCTATGGAAAAAGAAATCACATTTGTTGTTATGAACACGTTGTGGTGATTAAAATTTTATTTCATGTACCACCTAGGCATGTACGTAATGAGAGCATCTCAAATATTTTGTTGAAGAGCATTACTTAGTTACTTACTTATCCTTTAATTCAATTTCCAGCACCCATATTTGATTAAAACGACGCCGAAACGCTTGCAGCGCGTGCATTCATGCAAGCATTCTATTGTCCACGTTGATGGATTCACGGGCTTTTAATCTGTTAATTTACATACGGGCCGTAAACTTAAAATGCGGAAACACTAAATTATTCATCGGGGATTTATTTTAAAAAGGTTTTTTAATATTGTGATTGATCACGGTTTTGTGAGAACAAAATGCATGCATGGTCACATTAAAAGTTAGCACCTAGGTACTTAGGGATGTTTGATTCTACGCAATTCACAATCAATTTTAAAAAATTGAATTTTACTCAAATGAACAAAACCCGAATTTATTAACTCAATGTCAGTTGGTATTGATAGAGTACGTCATCATCAGTGCTAAATAATATTACTGCTATTGTCTATTGTGCTAATATGTTGTTAATTATTATTGGCAATAAAGCCACCAGCCAGGTACCTACATCATTCACCATTTTTACATTTTACACTTTTTTAAATTTCTAACTAAGCAGGACTTCACACTTAGAGTAATTTTACTATCGCAGTTGCTAAGTTGCCATATCAGCGGGCCGTAGTTACACGAAATCCGAGTTCTAAGTACCGCCCATTCCAAGATCCGGGTCTAATGACATTCTTGTGTCCGTTTGAGAAATGTTGTCACATTGTCAACACTACTGGGTCGTAACGACACAATACAGGCGATACGCAGTAGGGCCAAGGGAAAGTTTTGTTGGTCTATCTGGTCTTTAACTTATTTTGTGTGAAATTAAATGGTAGCTTCAACCAATTTCTTGACTATATATTTTGACTGCCACAGCAAATGGAAGCAATTTCAAAATTATGGCACTCTACCACAATGACTACAAAGTATCTGATCATAGTAGAAGATCGGTCTCGTAAAATATGTAACGAATAGTATTTTAACTAACTCAGTGACATAAATGAATATCTGACGATAGATCATAGAAAATAAAATATCATTGGACATTTTACACTACGTTTCTAGTTCCAAACTAAGTAAAGCTTGTACTATGGGTACTAGACAACAGATATAAACTGTAAACATACTTAAATTCTTTTTTTTTGTAAATACATACAAAATATCTATACATAGTAACACCCAGACCCATCACAGAAATTAAAATTCATCATTTCAATTTCTGCCCGGCCGGGAATCGAACCCGGGACCTCTCGGCATAGTAGTCCGTTCTGAACCACTACACCAAACGGCCGACGATCAAAGACACACATCAAATGAATGAGCCTACTTCATTATTTCTAACAAGGCTGAAGTGCAAGCTCTCATTAACTGTACAAGTACACTTAATGAGCAGGTGGCAATGGCCCCGGGTGGCTAACGCGGCGCTGGCCACCTTTACGACAGCCATTAAACGCCATGTTTCAATTCCACGTGTAGCCGGCCCGTTCGTGTTGTATGGATGGATGTAGGCCGTTAAGAAGACGAATGTGTGACGATTGCATGCAGCAGAGTAAAGATTCATCCGGCTCGAAGGACCATTTAGATTTACTATGAGACATATTGCTAAATAATTTACTGTAAAAACTTGAAAAATGTGTAATTTGAGAAACAAATTAAAAGAGTCGTAAATAGGCATGCGAATGTAAGTGGATGATTTATGGCATAGAATGAAATTCAAAATTATTATTTTAAAAATATCTTACCAAGTAAATTGATTAAGATTGAATGTAGATAATATGCAAGGCAGGTTCATGTATGAGAAAAAGCTTTTTATGAAGCAGTAGTGTTTACTGTAGTCGTTCTTTTGTACTCGTATCTGTTTTTGTATCCATATCCATATTCATACAAATAGCACTTTAATTGATAAAACCGCAATGGAAAAATTTCCTTAAGATATAAGACTTAAAAACAAAATTGCCTAACTCAGGGATCAAATCTCAGCTTACAGCTACTTACAGACACCGATAACCTACTGGCCATCCTTTGGAAGTTTAAGATTGCGATTATGATTAATACAGTTTTAAAAATCTATGTAATTACACATATTGCTAGGTTATTATAATTTGCTCAGGATATTTTAATAAAATAAGCATTCGCAAACTAATCAGAATAATAACCGCGCGTAATGCTCTCTGTGATTGTTATTTAATCTTGAAAGGGAAAAATTTACAT